AAACCAGGCCCAGATATAGAATAAGATAATTCAATATCTCTGTAAGAAGAATCCAAGAGTTTCCACATAAGCTAGACATTCCTTATACCTTTTTCAAGAGAGACTTTCCAAGGAAATTTTTAAATGTTGTTAAGCTCATAACCTTGAAATTATTGCTGAGTTTTTCATTATCTACATTCCTTCTATAGTAACTCTCAACCATATTACTAAAAAATCACTATATTTTATTCCCTTTTCCAAAATCATTCAATGTTACACAGTTGCTGCATTCACCTATTTCTACTTCCTCTTCACCAAAATAAGAAATAATATGCATTTAGTGATTACAATATGCAAAGCATTGTCCCAAGTATTTCAAATATATTATCTCATTTGATCTTCCAAACCTTCAAGGAGTAAGATAGCATTATTCTCCTCACTTTACAAAAAAAAAAAAAAAAAAAAAAAACTAGAAATCAAAATATTTGTCCAAAGTTTTAGGGCTAATAGACATTAGAAGTGGAAAAGAAATTCAGCCAAGAATCTTAACATCTATGCTCTGGTAGCCATTCTTTGATACCAACATATACAACTGATCACATCTCCCAATAATTGTTAAGATGAACTCTTCCCTACAGATCACATCTTCTAAGTGGGCTCTAGAACTTATTGGTATTTAGAAGTACTAGCATCCATTTCTAGTCCTCTCCAATTGTTCAAAGGCTATCCATCCTGAAGGATATGTCCCTTATTGATACTGACCAATTTGATCTTTTTTAAAATAAGTTAATTTTTAAGGCTTAACATCAGTACAGCACAGTGGTTAGGATTTTTTGTAAAACAAATTGGATTCAAACCCAAGTCTGGTCACTTCATAACCATGTAATGCTAGATAAACGACACAAATGCGTTCACCTTCAGTTTGCATATCTATAAAAAGTAGATGGTTATATTGTCCTCCTCACAAAGTTTGTTGAAATAAGTGAGATATTATAAATAAAATCCTCTTAATGATTAATCAGCATTCAGTAAACACTCAATAAGTGATAACTACTATCATTCTCATCTAATCATGTGCTTCCTTGAAACATTGTAACAATTTGGATATTAAGTTTATCCTGATTCCTAGGCTAAAATAAAACTTGGCTTTAAAGAGAAATAAATTATATCTTTAATTCTGTTTGTGTGTGTTTCTTTATAAAATAGCTCCCAAATCACTGCTAAGAACTGATAAACATGTGTTCAGTATATATATGAATTAAATACTAAAAGCAAAGATACAGAAGAAAGATACTAAACAAGTGGGAAGAATTCCATGCAGAATCTTTCATCCACTTATACAAAATAAATTAAACTAGCTGTTTGAGAATCACTTTAATCAAAACCTAGAATAAAGTGCCTGGAACACTCTAACTACCAGTCAGAAAATGAGAAGGAAAAGACTATGGCTAGAAAATACAAAAGAGAATTAGCTTTGCATTTTTCATTGATTAAATGGTGACTACAAAAAAAAAAAAAAAACTTAAAATACACCTTGTTGGTTATGACTCTCTACAGGTAAAGAGGTTCTTAGTGGAAAAATATGACCATTAAGAATGTTGACTTCATTGGACTTCCACTGGGAGAGTGGCCCATTCTGGCAGGTCAGGTAACAAATCATCTTCAACAGGCCTATTGGTGCCTGTGGTTGAGGGAGAGCCCAGTGGGCAAAGGTAATTTTAAAAAGGAAGAGAACTTTTAGTGTCCTTGGTGAATAAGGGTCTTTATTGAATAAGACAGAAAGAGCATGATCTATGTTGTCAGACAAGGGGCCACTGAGAGAGTGGTAGGGAAGTTATTGTCATATATAGTAATAATCCCTAGAATGCTATGTGAAGATCATCCAATTTAGGCCCATGAATTTTTATCTTCTCCTTGAATTCCCAGAACCTCCCCTTATAAAATCCACCCTTTTTTTGGGGGGGGGGGGGAAGGGGCTATTTTTCTAATATTTTATTGATTTTTTATAAAATTAAAGTTCTAAATATCTTCAGAAAAACTCCAAAGAATTATCACTAACTGTCACAGAAAAACCTTGGCAATAGTTAACATCTTTGTATAGCACAAGCGTATTTTTTTCAAAAGAAATCCTCTAAAAAACGTATTTGACTTACAATCATAATCCAAGCTTCATAGTTTTGTTTTTATGCAGAAATTACAAAGTCATTTAAAAAGTTGAGTAACATTTATTAAAATTTAACTCGAGGAGATGATTGATTTAAAAAGTGACATTCCCAGAAACCTCCAAAGAGAGGCTTTTTCTTCTCCTTAGAAAAGAGTAAGAAATGGTTAAAGTGTTCAAAAAAAAAAAATCTGACAAATATATTAATATGCTTCATCCTTTCATCAACTTGAGGGTTGATAAAGATGTTGGGGCAAATTTTGGCAGTATCATAGCATGATACTTGAAAAGAGGATAGATCCTAGCTAGCCCTGACCACATCTCCTGGCTCTGTGCCTTGGCTGCCATATTAGACAGTGGTGGGTGGCAGGGTGGAGTATAAAGGTTAAAGGGCATGGATCCCAAAGCCAAAGGTCTGTGCTCTAAACTTGGTTCCAGGAGTTTCTAGTGCTGTACCTTTAAGCAAGTTCCTTATCCTCTGCATATCTTACATAACATTAGTATCTGTCCCACAAGTTTTTGTTAAAGGGATTAAATCAGTTATTTTTTGTGATATTCCAAAAATAGTCCCTGGCACAGAATAAGTGCAGATAACGGTCTGTTAGACACAATAAAATTAGGACAAGAGAAGAGAAAGAAGTTGAATTGGTGAGAAAGTGAGTGAAAGAGCCTGACTGTAGGCGTTGGCACACAGAGAGGGCAATTTTTGGCACCTGTGCCCTCTGAGGAAATGAGACAAAAGAAACAAAAGCAGCACAGGAACTGTTAGACATTGTTATCTCCATGACCCAATGCACTTCCCTCCCTCTGCGCACCATACTTGAAACTAATATCAGTATGTTTTGAAATTAATTGCTTGCCTTGTAAAGTGATGATATTTAAGAATCAGCTCCTTCTAAAGAGACAAAAGAACTTATAGAGAGCTATTTTAGGGGGATGGAAATTAGCATATATTTACTCATTAGTTAAGTGGTCTCACAGGTAAAGATTCCTGTAGGTTATTGAGAATGGCCTTAGGCCAACAAACCATGAATTTTTTAAAAATATTTTATAACATGGATCAGAGTGATGACTGTTAGCATTAATCACAACTAGTAGAACTATCGCCCATAAAAAGATACCTAGGGACTTTCCTTTCTGCCTCTGAGTGTGTATGAGCCTCAGGCAAAGGCTTAGTCATTTATGATTGGAGCTGTGCAAAAGTAAATAATGGAAAAGTAGGTGGTTTGCTGGCCTCCATCAAGATTTGGAGGAAGACAAACTATAAACACCACAATTAGAGAGAAGCCAGATGCTTGAGGGGGCTGACAGAATAAATAACTCTCTGATAAATAATTCTCAACAAAACTCATTCAAAAACAGAGGCTTATTAAGAAAAAAAAATTCCAACTTTCAATTAGACAAATTTTAATCAGTTAACAGAAATATCATATTAAGAAAAGTATATTCCTCATAATATTGTTTTTTTTTTCCTTCTTAAGGGTTTCTTGTCTTTCAGCTCATTTAGTAAACACTTGAGTCCATTTTGTGTACTGCATGGGATGCTCATTGATAGGATGTAACACCCTTCTAAGTTCATGGAGATAAATATAGTCTAGGTGGAGGAAATATATTATCCTCAGTTCCTAGCTGCTTCTGGCTAATGAGTCTTGTTTTCCGAGGAGTCTTTGCTGGAGAGCCGGGCTCTGGGAACCCAGAAGCCAGACTGACTCTTTACTCTTCTTGCAATGATTGCTTTGTCCTGCTCACCCAGCTGGAGTAGTCTCTTCAGAGTAAGAAAATTTTCTCCAAAAATTAATACCCAGCTCTATGCCCAACAATGAAGTGAAAAAGCATAGCTTCTGCTCTCACCAAGTCATCATCCAACAGGAGAGAGAATATTTTCCAAAACTTAAATATCTTCAAAATGCTTACATTCACGTGAGAGAAAGATACAGACCATTTTATATGTCCTCATCACTGGAATATTTTTATTTCAACAATAAAAATTGACTCACATTTCTTTATGGGAATCCGTAGAAAATATTTTATCTAAGTTGTGCCTAACTGCATACATTTATTTTAATATTATTAATAAAAAAATATTTGCATGGTAAATATTCACTTTGTTCTAAGCACTGTTATTCTGCATTTGATGTGTATAGTTATTGTATGAAGAATTGTAAAGGAGATATGAAGCTCTTAGATATTTATCTCTCATTACCAGTGGCCCCACACATCCACTCTCTTAATGCTTCTTGTCACCAAGCATTATTTATCACAAATGACTAAGTTTGTACCTGAGGCTGATAAATATTGTCACTTTCCCTTATTCTGACTTGATCTTATCTCCTCCTTTCACAATTTATCTGCTCTATGCCTCACGTTCCTATAGCTTTTCCTACTTACTGACCCAATTTGATCAATTCATTTGATCAAAGGCCATGTTAATATGAAATCCAACAGGAGAAACATCAGTATTTCACAGGTTTTCAATGTCTTTTAAGAGTGATGTGTGAGGGTCCAAATTTTAAGGTTTCAAATAATACCCTTGTGCCCCCTCCCCCAACAAGTCTGAGTTTCAAGTGTGACCATCCCCCAGACAGTGCACATCTCACTCATTATGTATGTATATACCCGCCCCCTCCTTTAAGGGCATTATTTGAAATCTTAAATTTGTACCCCCATAATATGCTGAAATTAAAAAAAAGAGTGATGTGTGTATATTTCAGACAGCATCAACAGGTTACTGGAGCAATGATTTCAGTAGATAATCTTGGACACTTCCAAAATTAATCCATAATGTGGTACAGGCTTGATTACATTTGTTTTACTTAGTCTGCAACTTTTCACTATTGGATTAGACAAACAAAATTCATACCTCAACAGCAACATCCCCAGCTTTTCCTCGGTGAGGAATTTCATATGCCTCTATTTGTTGCTTTGTGAGTCGTACTAACTTTTCAGCTAGTTCCCTCCAGCCTTTTCCAAGCTTGACAGCCGAAGTCAGAATAGCAGCCTCTTGGATGAGATGTATTACTAATCCTTGGCAATCCATCTTCAGCAGAGCCTGAAGCAACAATTACATGTCATAATTAAAAGCAATTAATTTGAGCTTTTTCCTATAAATCAGAATTTTCATTATATAGTCTAGAAATGGAAGTCCTTTATTCTACCACATATATAATTGAGTTTTCTAAAACTCAAAAAGTTGGTTCACTAGTTCACTTTTAAGTAAATTCAACAAGGAAACTACAGTGGATATTACAACAGGAATTAGGGGATACGTAAGACTAACTCTGTGACTAATTGTAAAACCTTGGATAAACCACTTAAATAATATGTGTTTTGATATCTTTGACTGTAATAGCAGGAAGTTAATCTAGACACTTTCAAAGGTACTCTGAGATTCCAACAGTCTATAATTTATCAATCCAGGGTTGATTATTCACTCACAAAAAAATAATTATTTGCCTTACTAGAGGATTGGCTACAAGATTTCTCTAAAGAGTGAGGACACTGGTGATGGTAAACATTACTCTATTTTTCATCAAATTGTAATTTAAAACTTCCCAAAATCATGCGTGTTGCATAAAAATGAGACTCTCCTTCAAATTGAACAACGCTCTTGATGTTTATAAATTTGAGAAGTATACAAATTTATAAATTAAAGAAATTCACTTATCACCAATATAATTATGTTAAATATAAGCCACAGGGTATTAAAGATAAAACACTCAGTCTTGTATAATGCAAGATAAAAAACCATCAGATTATTTCTTTCTTCTTTTATTAGGTATCTGAGCTTTGGTACTCATCATGCATGTTTCAAACAAGTCTATCAGTTTCTGTTTTGCCCCTGAGTACATTTTAAAAATAGGAGACTAGGCCGGGCGCTGTGGCTCATGCCTGTAATCCTAGCTCTTGGGAGGCCGAGGCGGGCGGATTGCTCAAGGTCAGGAGTTCAAAACCAGCCTGAGCAAGAGCGAGACCCCGTCTCTACTATAAATAGAAAGAAATTAATTGGCCAACTGATGTATATATAAAAAATTAGCCGGGCATGGTGGCGCATGCCTGTAGTCCCAGCTACCCGAGAGGCTGAGGCAGAAGGATCACTCGAGCCCAGGAGTTTGAGGTTGCTGTGAGCTAGGACGCCACGGCACTCACTCTAGCCTGGGCAACAAAGCGAGACTCTGTCTCAAAAAAAAAAAAAAAAAAAAAGGAGACTATATCTTTCTATACCTCTTCTCTATTCAAAGCAGCAAATAGAGTCATCTCTTCTTATCTGCAAAGGATGCCTGAAACTACAGATAGTACCAAACCCTATATATGCCATGTCTTTTCCTATACATATACATGGATGACAAAGTTTAATTTAGAAATTAGACACAGTAAGAAATCAACAATAACTAATAATGAAATATAGCAATTATAACAATATACTATAATAAAAATTATGTGACTGTGGTCTCTCTCTCTCTTTCATATCTTATTGTACTGTTCTCATCTATTTGCCAACCAAGGTTGACATTAGGGTAACTGAAACCACAGAAAGTGAAAGAGCAGATAAGAAGAGACTACTGTAAGCATGTATGATAGCCCCTCACTTTAATGGCACCAAGAAACTATCTACCAACAGAAAACAATAACTAATAATGAATGACCAATAAGGCAACCATTAAAGCCCATAGAGTGCTCATTCCCATTGGAGTACACAACTAGAAGGATCTCCCATGGTTTGTACACAAACACTGTACTGATCTATATTTTCATGCTGAGAAGTTATGGCCTCATTGAGAAGCAATACTGAGCCAGCAGGCCCCAGAAGGTGCTTTCAGTGAACTGTGGAGTGGGTATACCAGTTCTCATTTTAGGGAAAAGAAATATGCACTTGGAGTCCCAAAAGCTGACTTTAAAATTCAGTTTCTCAAAGTATAGAACTTTAAATGAATCACACAATATCTCTATTTAATGATTTTTAAATTGGATATGATAGTAATTCCACCCCATCTAATTCTTCATAATAATTACGAAAATTGAATCAGATGCTGAAGTGTTTTAGAGAATGTCAAGTTCAAGTATGTAAGGATAGTCAGTCTCAATGTCTGGAAATGACTAAACGGTTTAGATCCCACAATCTTGCCAGTTTTATCAGCTCTCTTCCTGCCACCCCAAATAAATATGTAATCCAAGAAAACGTACACTAACTATGTAAATAAAATTTCAAGAGACAACTGTATACCCCAGGTTCCATTGCCTTGTAGTCAGACAGCCAGTCCCAAGCCCCTTCATACGAAATCCTGAAGCCTTCACTGAAGCACAGTATGTGCTGTGGAGCTCCCTTGGGAACATCTCCCTTGAATGGGCTCTCTGCCAGATTGTCTAGTTAGCCACTCAGGCCACTCTATTAATTATTATATCCCCTCATGCCCCCCAAAATCACAGTGATGTTCAGGCTTAAACTTTCATATCATTTGACCAAGATAACATTTTTAGGTCACTAAGAGAAAAAAACAAAGCAATTTTCAATTCAAACTTTTGTGGGTGCACACTGAACATGAGCTAGGAGAGATAATGAGCTATTGCAAAATGCATGCGCAGTTTCCACCAGTTAGAGCGGCTTCTAACATTCAGCCTCCGTTGACTCTGAATGGCCCAGATTATGTGAGAATGCAGCACATCGTAATGAAACTATCCATTTAGCAACTAGATAGTGGAGCTTTTTAAATTTTAACCCCTCTCAGTGTTATGGTACAATAATCCAAAAAAAAAAAAAAAAAACAAAACAAAACAAAAAAAAACGGAGAGGAAATGTTTTATATATATTTATTTATAATATAAATTACTGTTAATGTCACAGATTAAATTCCTCCTCCAAATGTTTTCCCTTCCTTTTGCACCTTGATTAGAATCTTATATATGAACTTGCCTGTATAATCTCACTCATCTCCTACAGAGCACCATCCTTTGACAGTTATAATGCCATATAATACACCTGCCAACATATATACAGTGCTTACACAAACAGTTTTTATACACATATACTTTGTTTCAAGAAGACATAGTGGTTTCAAGCATGATTTTGGAACCAAAAATTTTCAAATGTCTTCTCTAATCATACTCAGTGGTTGGACCTTGGGTAAATAGCCTAACTTCCTAAGACTCTTATTTCTTTCATTTGTAAGATGAAGACACTACCTATACTTACCCCATAGAGTTGTTATATGTTATATGGCTAAATGAGATAATGTGTGCAGAGTGTTCAGCACAGTGCAGTGCCATACACATAGAAAGCACTAGAGAAGTATTAGCTATCATTATTACTATTTACACATTTTACATTTTAACCATTTTTAGAAATATGCTCTTGATTTTTAAAATTTTTATAAAATATTGAATTTCTACTTTAAAGGCAAAACAGTTCTTTATAATTCTGCACGGAATCTTTCACTGGGATGAGACCTTGAGAGTCATGTTAAAACATGAGGATTAAGAGGAGACTGACCAATATCTGTGTTTATATTGCATGCAGAATAAGAATATTAAATTGCTCAAGTAAAGGATGTTAATGATACATTTTAGAAAACACTGAAAAGTGGACCTCAAACCATGGCCTCGTTAGTTAGTTTAGTTTACTCTTGTTTATTTTCATGTTGTGAAACTTTTTTGAGATCCTAAGGGCTGTCTAAATATTTGAGAGAGGAAGAGAAGCCATGTCTTAACTTTTAGGCCCAGCATAAAGAGAACCTTTAATCTTCCTTCAAGAGATGATCTTTGGGGGCCTATTATCTGGGTAAATCACAATTGTATCTCAAACTTAAAAAATCAATTGTATGGTCTTATGGGAAAAACTCTTTTTTGCTGAAAAGTGGTTTCAATGTATTTGAAATTGCTAATTTTTAAAAATATTTCTTCTCACGTATGTTTGGCTATAAATATTGTCAAATTAATAAAGTTTTCTATAGCAAATAAATTACTATAATGAAACAGTACTCACCACAATAAGTTCGTAAAGGAACTTTCTCGTATTTCTGTCTGCGTGGCAATCTTCCTTTAACTTCTTCACAACGTAGGAAACTTTTTCTGACTCTTTGTCCGCTTGTGTTTGAACCAAATCTTCCAGTGCCAGATGCGAGTAACCCAGGACATCAGCTAAAACTTTCCAGTCATAAACTTTTTCTGACACCAAGGTCAATACAACTGAGTAGATATAAGTTAGTTTTTTAAAAGGCAGAGCAATTTGTTCAAGAAGATTTCTGGTTGTAAAGATGGTATCTGACGTAGACATTACTTGTTCCCTTGAAATCACCTTGACATTTTTGGAATGGACAAGTCCAATCTTACCTCTGAGGACTCCCACATACCATTCTTTAACTTTGGACTGCCCAATGGCTTTGACCTTCCCTTTTCCAAGAAGTGCTATTGTGTCACCTTTGAAATATTCAAGTAAGTAGTCAATCTTGCTTTGTCTCAGTACTGCCTTCAAGGTCACCCCATAGTTGGTAAAGTTCAACGTTTTATCTTGAAATGTGGGATATTTAACAAGCACTGTTGGTAATAAAGGAGTAGACTTGATTTTCTTCTCCTTCTGCAAATAACCTGGCAGATTTGAGAGCCTTTTTAGGTTCGGGGCTGGATCAGGTGTAGTGATACAGAACTGTGCAACTGCTTCACCATGGGAGGGCTCCACCTGAACACAGAAAACAAACAAGTGCATCTCTCTGTGGTCAACTAAAGAAAATAAAAATGGTTGATGAACTATTTCACCTGCTTCCAACTGTTTTTGTTTAATTCCTTTCCTGTCTCCTTCTGCCTTTACTTGAAAATCAGGGTCACATGAAAAAACAGAAATACTTAGATCTTGTGGCTTGTCAAGTAAAAATGAATGCTTCCCCCAGAGCTGAAATACAACTGGAGATGTGTTTTTTCCACCCTTCTTAATATCAGAGATTGTAAGCTTTCCTGGCATGTAACTGTGTCCACAAACTATGAAAATAACAGTGAAACTGGGATGGATATATTTGGGTCCATAAATTCCAATTGAGGTGATTTTGTGGATATAATCCCAAATGGTGGTGGCTGGTGACTGAATAGTTTTAGCTTGTGCAGCAACCACTAGATACATCACCTGACTCAAGTCCATTAGCTTGACTTGGATGGTATCTTTATAAATGTAACAGTTGCTTAACACCCTGAAAGGGCCTTCTTTGTCCAGGCTGTGTAAACACACCATTTCTGTCATGACTTGGCTGAAAGGATCCTTTCTCACCTCAGCACCAATTTTCATCTCCAGCAAAATGGCTTCCATTGTATTAAGGTTTCCTAACGTGATTTCCAACAGAGGGCTTACAGTGCAGGAAAGATTATGGTTAAGCATTTGTGGAGGATCAAGAAAAGCCCTTAGAGACACCTCTTGGAATTCTCCCACAGCTACGTGGCCTTGGGGTACGTGAATAGTGATGTCTGATTCAGGTAATTGTACCGACCCTCCTTGGTGGTTTAATTTACAAACTATGGTGATCTCTGCAACTTGTGTTTGGGCCCATCCAGGGTTCTGGTTAATTGTATTCAAATCCAGACAGGAGCGGGCCAGCTGGCGTTGACTTAACCAAGCCATTTTATAAGCTTCTCTGTCATTTTGAAGCCATTCTAAGTCTTGTTCTAGGATCTGGTCAGAGTTATGTATACTCTGAGGGGCATGTTCTGTGTCATCTAAAATGTCCAGAAGTTCTGAAACACTTTTAGATCTTCCAGATTTCCTTGAGGAGGAATGCCTAAGTAATTTTCGCACATCGAGTTCATCACCAGAGGAATCAAAAGAATTTCCATTTTCTACTTCTCTTAAAAAAAGAAAAGGATCTTCCTTCAAGATGGAAATATTATCTCTCTTCCTGTTCTTTCTTAGCTGAGTTATGTCATCCAAAAATGGGTTAGAAGCAGACAGTTCATTCCAGAATGGATTCGTAGCTTTGCAAGCATTATTACCATGAAGGGCAAAAGCTTCCGGCCAATTGTGAAGAAAGTCTGGGTCTTGGCATTCTTGTTGTTCAAAGAAAAACAAAGCAAGAAATCAATAAGGTGGCATTCTGAGATATAACCAAGGTTCATTTTTCCTATAGCTTAAAAATTCAGGACCTACTTCTCAATTTTCTTTTCTTTTTGATATTCAACCTACCATCTACTACAAACTTAATGGTAAATTTGGTCACATTTGCATATAGTAAGGAAAGAACAATTTTTCTACGAAGTTATTTTGACCATATTTAAATGTTCTTTTATGTTAAGACATCATGATTTACAAACTAAACAAATAAATGTTTAACATTTTACATATTTAACATTTTTCCATAAAATGTCCCAGATGAGCATATGCTTATGCTTTATTATTTTATGTTTCATTTTTACAAAAGCAAAGCTCTGAGCAAACAATAATTCAGCCAATTGTCCATATTTTCCTCACCATTGAATAATTGGTCTCATTACATCTAGAATAATAATTTAATGTTTTTTATTTTCAGATAACATTCAATATGTGAAAAAAAACAAATACATCTGTTAACAGCTAAAATAATTTTTTAAAACAATATGCTAAATTAGACATTCATCATTAGCTCATTCTCTGATAATTTGTATTGATGAATTTTAATAACATTGAAGTTTTTCATGAAAAATAAACCTTTCATGAAAAATGAACCTAAAATAATTATACCACCATTGGACTTACTACTTGAAGGAATGTATTGAGCTTTTGTAGCTTGCAATGTCAGAGTGGTCTTACCACTATGAATGGAAACCTTATTACTTTGGAAAGTGAGTGTTTTAAGAATTAGCAACACATTAAAATATTCACATTTCTAGTATAAGAATTTCTATATATCCCACAGTACTGAATCTATCTTTTTATGTTAATAGCATCTCATAGTGGTCATTTCTCTCAGTAAATAGTGGTAATGACTCTGCTGATTTCATGAAGCTGATGCTGCATTAGAGAAAATGATGGCCACAATGGCCAACCCAATGATAACAAGTTCTATAGAAAAAAAGAATTCAAGTAAATTGTCAGACATTTTTGTTTAATATATGTAAAACTATTATATAGATTGAAAGGTGTTTTAAGTGTTATGTATTAGAGATTAGAAGATTCATTTTGAAAAATAAAAATGGTATTTCTCTTATTTCCACACTTTTCTTCAACCCAGTTATTCCTAACTTCCTTGAATTTTACTTTTCCTTGAATTTTACTTTTCCTCTCAGGATCGGTTCAGTTTTTTTATACTCTATAAATGTTTCTTAGGCCAATCCAAGTTTCAGAGATCTCTTTTACCTCAAAATCCATTGTATTTATTGCATATATCACTCATTTATTAATAAATCTTTGCCTCTTTATAATATTTCTTATAATCTGTTGGCTATGCTGTTTTAGTTTGCACATCTTTTTAAATCATAGTATAATTATTTCTATGATAACATTGTGATTTTATAATTCTTTTAATTTTCTGTAACTCTTTTCAGAGGTAGACCTTCAGTAGCTACTGGTGATAGATGTATGGACAAAATTACAACATTTATAAGTTCCCATACCTGTAGTACTGCAATTTTTTGAGAGTTTCTGGGCTTCCATGTCAACCAAATTTCCTTCAGATCTACTTTGTGCCATTCCTCCTGACCAAAAATAGGCTGTTTCACTGATTAACATTTTTCCACCTACAAAGTAAATAGATATGTATTTTTTGTAAGCATACATATACAGGTTGTCAGAGAAAACAAACTCAAGGTGGTCATACATATTTATATTTAAAAACTGCATGTAAAAATATAGAGGCCCTCTTCTTCTGGTAGAATGCTGGACTGAATATCCTAAAATATGTATAGTGCAAAACACTCAGATTCTAGATTAATACCAATAAGCAAACCTGGAAATGCATTACTGATGTCATGAAAAAGTAATTAATGAAAATCCCAAGGACAATAATAAAGAATAGTGAGTTGAAACCTCAATAAGCAGACATTCCATTTGGTGATTGGAAGACTAAATATCACAAACCTGAAAATCCTCCCCAAATCTTTCTGTATACTCATTGCAGTTCCAAAATAAATCACAACATGTTTTGTGTATGTTTATCTTTATAAATTCTTTTTTAGTTAATTTATTTTTTAATTGACAAAAATTCTATATATTTGTCAAGTAAAGCATATTGTTTTGACGCTTGTTTTTAACAACATATAACAACTTCTTAAGCTATTTTAATATTTATATAGAAAAGTAAAGGGCTAATATTCAAGATGATCCACAAGAAGAGCATAATGGAAGTAATGTACACTACCAACCAGATATCACCATTGATTATAAACATGTGCTAAGTAGGACAACATGGAATTGGAATCAAAATATATCAAGAACCCAGAATGAGACCCTAAAAACAGACCCACCCTCACAGAAGACAGAGGTGGCCATGCAGAGAGGTGTGGAAATGATGGATTATTCACTCAGCAGTGATGACACCATTGGTTACTCATGCTGAAAAAAAATCATATTGATCACTACCTCATTCCATAGACAAAAAAATCAATTCCAAGACACTTAAAGCCTCAAAGGTGAAAGGAACAACTCTAAAATTTGAAAAGAGTCTAAAAGATTATCTTTATGTTTTCTACAAAATAGAGAATTTCTTTAGCAAAGCACACACACACAAAATGCAAACCATAAAACACATGCCCACATTAAAATGAAATTCCTGTGTATCAAAGTACAAAAAGTAAAAACACAAACCAAAATCTGGGTGAATTTATTTCCATCACATATGACTGAAAAAAGAAAAATAAAATCCTATTCCAAAATATTACCATATCAAAGACTCCCATAAATCAACAAACAAAATAAAAACGTTATAGAAATCTTTGAGAAAAGAGATAGACAAACATTTCTCAACAACAAAAGAAGGAAACATACATGACCCTTAAATATGTTAGAATATGCTGGACTTCATTCGTAATTAGGAAAATGCCACATGAAACTACATGAAACACGATTGCTACCCAGCAAATATACAAAAATAAATGATGACTATAATTATTGACAAAGATGTAGAACAAAGGGAAATCCTATATACTACTGGTGGAAGCATTAACAGGTGCCACCACTTGAAATTAATCTGGCATTATCTAGGAAGGATGTTTAGAGCCTACTACCCAGCAATTTCAATCCCAGTTATTTGTTCTAGCAAAAACCTTGCATATGTGCATCAAAAGATATATACATGAATGTTCATTATATCATATTAACAAAAACTGAAACCAATAAAAATATCCTCTGGCATGTGAGTGGATAAATAACTTGCAATATTTTAATACAATGGAGTACTATACTACTATGAAAACAGATGAATTATAATTAAAAGTATTAATTGTAGGTTTCTCATTGCTAGGACTCAGCCTTCTCTCCACATATATGATTTTTCTTTGTCCCATGACAACACTGAAAAATAGGTATTTTAAATCTGATTTTCGGAGTGAAAAATGAGTCTCAGCAGTGGTACATAACTAAACCACAAGGTCAAATAGCAAGTGAGTGACCCAGAAATAATTTCTCATTCACCTTGTAGCTGCTGCATGCAGCCCAAAACTCAGAACGTCATTTACCCTATCTCAGACCCAAGGTTCTCAGTGGTACATTCTGAGGCTGCCCCACTGTTCAGATCACATTTCCAGTTCTACTAAGGCCCCATTCTTTTTCTTCTTTGTGTGTTGACCACATCTCCTTCACCTTTGACCCTTCTTTTTTTTTTTGTCATACTCCTCTTTTGAGTTCTTGACTTTTTTTTTTCAAAGTAGCTCATTTTATTTTTTTAAAGAAAGCCAAAGTCTTCCTGATACACTCAAAAAAAAAAAGAAAGAAAAGAAAAACAAATTAAAAGAAGATTAAAAAAAAGAGAGAAGAGGGAAGGAAAGGGAAAGGAAAGGAGGATAAGCATATTTTCTAGACATGATAAATAAACAAATGCCAAAACTTCATAAGGTGGCATACTTAAAAAATTCAAATGTTGCAATAGCAATTTTTTCCTCTGATAAGGGAAACTACATCAAAATATTGGGTGAAAAGTTGAATTATGCAATGTGTGAATTTTTCACCAAGTCAAGTTTCCTGGCAGGTACTCAAAATTCTGTGGTTTATTTTACCAAATATAATGTCCAAAATTGAAAGTCCTTTGCATGGTATAGGTAGCCAAAACTTTAAGGTAGGAAAACTGAGCTCAAGACCCTCAGCAAAATTTAGCAAATGAAATTAATATGAGGAAAAAAATATTTAAATGAAAAAATATTTTCAAAAAGATAAAGTACATTTTTAGTAGAGAATCAAATTAGACAGCAATTTACCTAAACTCTTTCTTTTTTTTTATGGAGAAAAGAGCAAAATAAACAATTAATACCCAAGATTCCTTTGAGGCTAATTATCCTTGATGCAAAAAAATTGTTACAACCTAGAAATATAGTTACAGGTCCTCCACCACATAAAAATCAGGAATGGTGCCTTACACACCTCAGATCCTAAAGGATCATAACCTCGAAGAAACAAAGGTGCAAAGTGGTCATTAGCTGGAATTCTCTGTGGATTAGTCCTTCTCCCCAGCCGCCAAGCGCATATCTTCATTGTCCTTCATGCAGCTGTTCTAAACTTCAGTGGTACCAGGATCACCTGGAGGGTTTGATCAGACACGGCCCACTGAACCCACCACAGTGTTTCTGATCCAGAAGGTCTGAGGATTTGCACAAAAATCTGTATTCTCATAAAGGTTTCAAATGACACCCATGTTGTGGTTCTGGGGGGGCATATGTTGAGAGCCACATTCTGAAAGCCATTGCAGTAAGATCCCTCCTTGGCCAAATGGTTCCCTGGCTGCTCTCACTATACCTCAACAAATCCTCCTGCTCTTAATCTTTGCATACACACACACACAAACACACACATACACACACTCCTCACACCCCACATACACACACAGTACTCATCCTAAAGCTGAGTATGTTTTTCTATGAGTCCTGGCAGAAGCGGTGTAGAAAAAATGTCCTTGACTGGAAGGGGAGGACGAAGATGCTGCCCTGCCAAGGGCCATGCTTGTTTATACAGGTGCAAATCGCATTAGTCACATTTATCATTTCCCTGTGTTTTCTTCCAGTGAAACTCCATGCTCCATGGCAATTGCTGTCCAAAATAGGATTTGTTTAACTTTGTCTACAGAAGAATGAGTTAGACCTTGTTGGAATGAGTAAATGAGAAAAGAACAGTCTAGTACTCATTTAATTTGGGACCAGGGTCTTTCAAAATTCCTTTTCCAAAACACTTCTTCTGACTTCGCATGATCCATTACATTTTCCCTCAAATGAACAACGTTTTTGCCCTTCATTTATTTGACTATTTAAACTAAGCCTTAAACAACTGGAAAAATTTGCCAAGTGTACAACTTAGCAAAAGACCCCAGAAGATCTTGGTGGGTAGAGGTGAGGAGTGGGGAGCAGTGTGGTGTTTGGAAATAAGTAACCAGGGAAGCATTACCATAAAAGAATTGTTCCTCTAAAATATGTCCTTTGAAGTGGTTATGGTAGTAATTATATGGTGGAAATTGCTATTGTTAGCTACCTGGCAGGTTCAAAGTATTTTCCAATTAGTCCTTAAATACTTGAGACCTCTATGACAAGCGTCCTCAAACTATGGCCCGTGGGCCACATGAGGGTGTTTTTGCCCGTTTGTTTTTTTTTTTTTTACTTCAAAATAAGATATGTGCAGTGTGCATAGGAATTTGTTCATAGTTTTTTTAAAACTATAGTCCGGCCCTCCAACGGTCTGAGGGACAGTGAACTGGCCTTCTGTTTAAAAAGTTTGAGGGCCCCTGCTCTATGATTTCCATGGATCTGTATAGTATTTAACACTTTCCATCATCCGTACTGTATTTTACTCTTGATTTATGTGACATTAGAAGTACATCCACATAGGCAGTAAATATTATAGTTGAAAGAAAATACTAAAATATCATGACAGCGATTGTTGGACCAGTGGACTTTTCCTTCACCCCCCAAATGCCAAACCTACCCAAATAGCATTGCAATACCTTGCAAATGCAACTGATATAAAAGGCCTGAGGAACCAGTATTAAAGGTTCACAAAGGAAACGTAATCAGCTGTTGATACTCACCTGATGTGATTTTACTGTAGTTACCATGGTGCTTTTGTGGCCTTAGGGCACCTCCTGAGGGGCTGGTGGTACTCTCTGACTGGTAGTGAATATGCCCTCTCACTGGTTATTAAATAGTTTGTGCATTACCTCTGATTATTCTTACCAAATATTTAAAAGGCCTACCAGCCTGACAGGGCAAATGTCAGCAGTCACTTTTTCCCAAGGCAAGTGGCTTCAGGAGACTCTCCAGGGAGTCAAGCAGAGACCCTGGTGCATTAAGCAGTGTTCATAATGCATAATAATTTCTACGATGCCTCCGACCCTGGTAACTCAAAACATTTCTATAATACATCATCTTGTTAATATCACCACGTCAAGATGTCTATCACTGCTTTATATCTTATTACCCTTCTATCACTAGCAGAATTGAAATTTAGGAAAATTGTAATAATTGTGCAGCATAACATCATATTAGTGAGCATGAATCAGGAACAGAGAAACAGTAGGTCAGAACCTATTTTATGTGCAGTTTAG